AAATTTTATATTTATTAAAATTATTTTGTGCTATAAGGTTTTAAAAATCAGAAGTTTTATTAATAAAATTAAAATTTTGGACTCATCTCTCATGAAATTCTGATAGGTAATCATGTGTTCACATTATGATAATTTCAGACTTTCCCAATAAGCATATATGTATATGTCAATGATCATTGTTGATTTATTTTTTTTTCAATTAATGCCATGTTTCAGTAAAGCTAAACATGCTGTCCAGCAGCATGGATGAAATAAAAGAGAAAGATTTATGATCTCTGAAATAATAAAGAGATCATTAGTCAATGAAACTAGTGATAATGCGAAGAATTTTTTTAGTAGGGAAATCAATGATATAAGTGAGAATGTGGAAGAGTTTTTGAAGGATAAGATGAAGTTAGATATTATTAAGGAATTGGATAGTAATAATGATACTATAGAAAATGAATGGGATAATGAGGAAGATAGTGACTGGAAGTTGGAAAATAATATTGAGACAGGAAGGGAAATTCAAAATCATTTATTAGATATTAGTTTAGATTTAATTTGAAATTCAAATGCATTCTTGAAAAGAAAAAAATGGGATCCTTATCTAATCAAAAAAATTTCAAAATCAACCTATTATGACAAATATGATCCAAATGATTTGTGAACAAAGGCATCCAAAGGAATATCTAAAATTACTCAGTTTTTTAGTACATCAGAAGTAATAATGGCAATACTATTGGAAGAACTAATTGAAGTATTAATAATATTTCTAACAGCAATACTAATAGTAATACTAATAATAGTGGTATCAATAACAACTCTAATGACAGTACCAATAGCAGCATCAATAGCAGTTCTAATGGCAACATCAATGGTAGTTCTAATAGCAGCACCAATGGTGACTTTAATGGTAGCATCAATGGTAACTCTAATAGCAGTATTAATAGTAACTTTAATGGCAATATCAATAGTGACTCTAATGGCAGTACTAATGGTGACTCTAATAATAGCATCAATGATAGTACTAACAATAGTTTTAATAGTGGCACTAATGATAGTATTATTGATAGCTTCACCAATATTAATGTCAAATTCCAAAATCAAATAAAAATTAGAAATATTAAAAGATAAACTTAAATCCCTTCACAAAATAATGTCTGTTAATGAATATAATAAAAAATAGACCATTTATAAATATCTTGTTAAAACAAAAATAAATAGCATGAAAAAAATAATAGCAAGTGAAGAGATAGCAAAAATAGTTTATTTATCTTATGACTCCTTTAAATTTCATAATATCAGAGATATTATCAAATACTAGTTACAATATGACTCACTTCCAGTTTCTCTGCGAGACTAACATCAGAAAATGATTCAATTGATAGATGATGAAGATGTTGCTAATAAATGTTAACAATGGATTAGAAGTCAAAATGGTAATATAATGCCATATACTTTTAAGAATTTCATTGAACAACAATTAATTCCTGATCTAGGAATTACAAAAGAAAAAAAGATTTTAATATTAACTACATGGTATTGGCTTAATATTTTGGAATACTTTCATCAATCACATAAACAAGGAATTTATTATGATGGTCATGAGTGTGAGGATGTAATTCAATATTAAAAATTATTTCTTGAGAAAATAAAAAAATATGAGTGTTTAATAGTAACTTATGAAGAAGAAGATATACATCAAGTTTTACCATAATTGAAAGAAAATGAGCATAAACATATTTTAATTGTTCATGATGAATATATATTTTATTCTAATGATGAAAAGAAAGATATTTGAACTCAAAATGGACAATTGTCATTGCGTAAAAAGGGAAATGGAAAATTAATTATGATTAGTGAATTTTTAACTGAAAATCAAAGATCTCTTCATTTAATATCAGAAGAAATTTTATCAAATCCAATCATTCCAGAAGAAGCACGTGTATATTTGAAGTCAGAAAAAAATGAAGATGGTTATTGGACAAGTTAACATTTAGTTGATCAAGTAAAATTAAAAAAAATTCCAATATTTAAAACAATATTTTCTGAATGTGTTAGAGTTTTTATGTTTGATAATAGTTCAAATCATGCAGCATTTATGTCAGATGCTCTTGTTACAAAAAGAATGAATATTGGATCTGAAGGTAAAAATATTTCAAAAATGAGAGATACGAGATGGAAACCTAATAATCAACTTCAAAAAATGAACTTTGATAATGAATAACCAAAAGATATCAAACAGATTTTAATAGAAAGAGGATTATGGAAACAAAATATGATTGGTAAATGCAAGTTATACCATGAAGAAGCAAATAATCTTAATTGTATTAATTGTTATGGAAGAAAAATTATTTCTCTTCAACCAGATTTTTTAGTACAAAAAGATACTTTAGCTGAAATAATTGAAGAAGTAGATCATATTTGTATTTTTCTTCCTAAATTTCATTGTGAGTTAAATTTTATTAAAAGATATTAGGGAGCTGCCAAATGATTTGCAAGACAAAATTATGATTATTCTTGGAAAGAATTATAAGAAATTGTTCCAAAAGCATTAGCTTTAGTTGATTTAATAACTATTCATCAATTTGCAAGAAAAATATGGTGTTATATAGATATATATAGACATGAAATAACAGGTAAACTTGCTGAATATGCAGTAAAAAAATATAAATCACATAGAAAAATACCAGAATATTTTTATCAAGAATTTAAATAAAATTACAATTTAATTTTAAAATAATTATCTATAGTAATTAAATATATATTATGTATAATTAAAAATTATAATTTTTTATTATATAATAAGCAAAAAATTTTTTGCCATCTATCAGTGACAATTTTATAAATTTACTCATAATTTTACATAAAAATCACATGTTATTATCAAAAAAAAATTTTGAACTAATGACACTTTTAAGTGATCTGCACCATAATATTATATTAATTTTTGATTTTTGATATTATTTTGAGAGTAGAAGATCTTTATTATAAATAAGCTATACTTTTTGTTTTATTATTTTTGAGAGTAGAAGATCTTTATTATAAATAAGCCATATTCTTTTTATTTATTTAGTTATTTAATTTATGTATTTTATTTCTATCTTTACTTTAGTTATAGTCTTCTTTAATTAATAACTTACTATTTAATCAATTCAAATCTTGAATTATATTAATTACTAGTGGCTTTACTCAGTTAATCTTTATACAGTCAATCTCTGTTAATATGACCTCTAATAGTATAACAATCACGTTAGTATGACCAAACTGTGAAATCCAAACTATTAAAGCCTTTTTTGCTCCTAATATAATAACATTCACTAGTACTCGTTATTATGACTATGACCAAAAAATCCTGAAATAGTAATATGATGTCATAATAATGGGATTCATATGAATATAATTTTTTTGTTCATTACTCTTCACTTCTACATTCTAATCTTTGAAAAGGTTATTATCTCTTCATTCATTTCTCAGGTTATTTCTAATTTATTTTTTAGGTACTAGTTATTAACAAAATATAATGAACATCAATTTTTACACATTTTTTGCATCTTTTATTCATTATATCTGATACAGAACCTCTCGTTGAAACATCTGATACAAACATATCTATTTTCCTACTATCACTTCTGATATCATCATTCCCAAAACCATCACTTCCAATATCACCACTCCCAACACCACCTAAGAACAAACGGCACTGACAAGAAATTATACATGCTGAAAAAAAGATAATTTGTGAGTTTGCAAAAACTATTGAAAAAGATCAAACATGGACTCACCAGATCATAGCTAACAAGTTTCAGAAGACACGTACCTTTATCATCACATTGCTTCAACAAAAAGACAAGTAGCTAAATTATAACATAGATCAAAGAAAAAAATGTATTCATGAGCATGCATCAAGATTTTCTCAAATAGAAGAAGGATTATGGATGTGATATCTTGGAGCTATGCATGCTAGTATCTTTATCACTGATGCTATTCTATTAGAAAAAGTGGGTCTTATTGCTACATAACTAGGTGTAAATAATGAAACTTTCAGAAAATTAAATGAATGGTTGAATTAGTTCAAAACTCATCATGGTATATACCAAATCACATTACATGGTGAAGCAGATAGTGTCCCACTTGATAATCTTCCTGAGTTTCATGTCACTCTTCAAGAACTTCTTTCAACATATCATCCTGATGATATTTTTAATGCTGATGAAACTGGCCTCTTTTGGAAAATGACACCAAATAAAACACTTGCTACCACGTCGTGTGCTGGAAAAAAAATATTAAAGAATCGAGTTACAGTTATGCTTTGCTACAATTCATCAGATACTGAAAAAATCTGCCCACTTGTTATCGGTCATGCAAAGACACCATGACCATTTCATAGAATCAATATAAATAATTTACCAGTTGATTACACCTTTAATAAAAAGACTTGGATGACTGGTATTTTATTTGAACCTTGAATTAAAAAATTAGATGCTCAAATACACATTCAGAATTGCCAAATTCTCCTCCTTCTTGATAATGTATCAGGACATATTGAACATGGTCTCACACTTAACAATATCATGATCAAATTTCTTCCACCTAATACTACCAGTCATTTACAACCACTGGATGCTGGAATAATAAAATCATTCAAAGTTCATTATCGCAATTTTCACATTCATTGGCTTCTTCAGCAATATGAAAATGATACTATGAATATGCCTCTAACTTTATTAGATGCTATATACAATATTGCCAGTGCTTGAGATATAATTACCACTACTACTATTTCGAATTGCTGGAAAAAAATAGGCATTATGAATACTAATAACATGACTACCACCATACATTTTATCGAGACCAATATACAAGATGAAGAATTATAATTAAATTCAGCTTTGAATGTTCTTGAACCTTTAGTAAATTACGAAATCTTGAATTCTCAAGAATATATTGACATTTTTACTGAAAATGAAGCTATTCACCGCATACTTAGTATTGAAGAAATAGTGAATACCATTAGTCAATCAGATAAATAATGATAATGATGGACCAGAGTTTCCTAAAATATTAATTTTATTAGCTCTTTCTTCTATTCATAATATTTCTCTTTTTCTTCAGCAAGAAGATCCTTCTTTATCTACTCAAAATTGAC